ATAACATTAAGGAAAACCAGCAATACTGGTGAACTTTCCAGAGTATATTAGTAGTAGATCTATGCAATTTTGCATATGGAATCATTGTCAGATCAAAATAGCAAAAATCAAGGACAACCATGTGCTCTGGCCATCACCATTTTCAGTGCTGTTGTGATGCTCAGAAATTCATCCCTTAAGTATCAAATGATCTGGAAATAGAGGCAATTCTTTTAAGAGACATTTGAAACCCTAAAATGGTGATTTTAATCAAATTCCTAATTGTAGTAATAATAATTTGTCTCCACTGAGCAACTCAATGTTTTCCTTTGGATTTTGTTTTACTTTTTACAACAAAATAATATAACTAATCCAAACAGAATGAAAATGAAAACCCAGCAAAGATCAAGAAGGGTGATGTGCATGTTATAGAATTAATACTCACAAGAAAAACATGAAGGAATTAAAGTCACATTGAAAAAAACATGATGCTGACTTCTCATTTAATTTGGGGAAACTAATTGGTCGGCAATGCTCTCCTATATATGAGTTAAATAATTTTTTAAAAGCTTTTTTAAAAGGATATGAAGGAAAAGACAGGAGGAGGGAGGGAAAGAAAATGGTTAAATAGCCTCTAATGAGGAATCTTCCTGGCATTGAGAGAATAGTAAAAATGTACTGCAACACAATTATTCTGTCCAGCTTGTGAATCAACTGAGTTTCATCTACCTTGAGTTTCTGCAGCAGATAAAAAAATCTGCTTTGCAAAGCCAAGAACATTGCCTCTGTTTGACCTACACATGTGGTATCACATGGAAACTAATGAATACTTTGGTCAGCAAGGCCTTTAGAATCGAAGGAAGACATTTCCTTGGCTGCTTGATCCTGCGGACTGAGCAACAGTGGCAGCCCATAAACTGGCACTTTGGGCAGTTAAGAGGGCTGTAGTAGCTCCACTGGGAACAATTTGATTCCTGACAACAGAACCCAGTGGCTGAGTCTTATGGCTGAGCCACTTAGGCCGCAATCTTGTTTCTCTCTGCGCGCGCGCGCGTGTGTGTGTGTGTGTGAGATGGGGCGGGCAGACCACCCAGTTTGGGTTATGGCCCAACCCACTGCTGGCATGAAGCCCTCAAGAGGTTTCCCCAGAGGCTAACTTGCATGTCGTACTAAGCTAGCAAGGTGCGCATGCCATTTCCCAGTTGCGGATTGTTGTGCCATGTGGAGTCAGTGAGGATGGGTTGTACATGTGGTTAATAACAAAACTCCCTCCCTCCCTCCCTCCCCAAGGGCTGCTGAGGTTGGTTTCTCAACCATGTCCACAACCAGCCCTGCCAGATTTACATCACACAAGTGGTTGTAATCATGGCCTGAATATCTCAAGCCCACCTGGCAGGCATCACAACCCGTCCGGCTTCCATCAAGCACAGAGAGCTGCGGTGATCTTGCAACCCGGGTCAGCTTGGCCCTCAGATTGAGAGCTATCCCCCCATCGCTGCTAGGCATCCCAACTGCTTGGGAATAAGCCTTCCTGGGCTCAGGGGCACATGCAAGGATTGCACAGGTCAGAACAGCACTTCAGGCTGCAAAGCACACCGGAAGAGTAGCATGCAAGACCCCCCCCCCTCAGTTTCAGTGTGGGCTAGCACAAGAGAAGCGGGGAATATCAGAGCCATTTCCACTGATTTGGTTTTTTAAAACCAGCACCGAAATATGTACATCTTATCTTTCCCAAGTCAGATGGATGTCAAAGTTGATACTGATGTGGAAAGAACTGGCTAATGTATACTCAGATAATTATTATTACACTGCATTTATATCTGTCCTTTTCCACTTGCAAGGAACCCAAGGCAGCATGCAGTTCTATTCAATTCTATTTTTATCCTGGTTAATCATGTAACTATTTGTATAACCAACTAGTTTTGGATAATCTGTCAGGACCTTTTCTACAATCATAGCAACATGTATAAAATATAAAGGTCAGTAAGAGAACATGTTGATTTTCAGAAAGATCTATAAGAGAAATAATGTAAAGGTGGGGGCACACAGTTAAACCAAATCTGAAACCTTTGATTGCATTTGTATGCTGCCTTCTTTCCTATTGCAAGGGGAAAAGTTGGCACTCCCATTCTCCATTTTATCCTCACAACAACCCTGCAAGGAAGGTTAGGCTTAGAGTCAGAGACTAGCTCAAAGTCACCAGGTGAGCTCCACAGTCAAGTGGGGACTAGAACTTGAATTGCCAGTATCCCAGTCCAACACTCTGACCATTGGGAAATAAAATGGAAATAAATATTATATTTAAGTGATGGTCCTCATTAAGGAAGGATACTTTAAAGTGTGCACACTGCCTGCTCACTGTTGAAGCCAGTGGATGTGTACCCTTTCATTAAATTTTCATGACTTTTTGGTTAACTTTTTTCTTCTTGAGGTTCCCATCTTTTTACTTATGCTTTGGTTTCTGTGTATTCATCTTGCTCCATTATCCTAAAATTCTATACAGGAGTAGAATATTCCAGATAAATCTGATTATTGCATCCAGACTATATTAAGCAGAATACATTAAGCAAATGATAAAGGAGGGTGGCTACTAGGAGAAGGGCCTTTTCAGCAGTGGCACCCCAACTTTGGAACCAGCTCCCCAGAGAGGCTTGCCTGGCACCTTCTTTGTATTCTTTTAGGTGCCAGTCAAAGACCTTTTTATTTCCTCAATATTTTAATTGTTAGAGTAATTTTAATAGTTTAAATGTTTTATATCTGGTTGCTATCTGTTGTTGTGCCTTTTGTACTGGTTTTGTATAAGCTGTGGCTCTGTGAACTTTTTACAATGGCATGCTTTTGCTTGTGGATTGTTAGATTTTATTAACTGTTATTTTTAGCTGCATATTATTGCATATTTTTAAACTTTCTAACCCACCCAGGGAGCCTTACGAGTAAGGGGGCGGGATAAAAATCCAGTAAACAAACAAACAAACCAAACTGCATAAACCCCAAACATCTCAAATTCCTGGTTATTTGGTATGGCCTGTCTTGAAACATAATCGCCTTGCGGTATGGTCTCATTTTGTTGGAAATGTAATTCTCTCAGAAAAATGGCATTTTTTAAAAAACTAGATTTAATCCAGATTTTTAAAAACTAGATTTAATCCAGATCGAAGAAGCTATGATAATAACTGGCCCAAAGTCACCCAGTGAATTTCAGGGCTGCGTGGTGTTGGGAAAATTTGGATAAATCCTGTCTGAAAAGCATTACTCCTGTGTGCCTTTGCATTGTGGGATCAAATCCTGTCTTCCTTCTCAAAACCAAGCTGTCACTGTTTAAAATGGCATTCCCCACCCCCCTCCTTTCTCTCACCTTTAGCTGTGGGCTACAGTAGACAGGCCATTTTAGCCCAAATATACCTTGTAAATAGTCATTGTTGGAATTCAGTTTACAATAATCTTTTGATAGCCCGGAGGGCTTCATGTGCCCTGATCATGCAGAATGTTTAGAGTCGAGATAAGGGTCTGAGCTTATCATGAATAGTTTCTAGTAGCTTGAATTTGCATGTCTGAGCAGACCTGGAGATGGATTCAAGTGTCAATACAGGCAATTAGAAATGTTTTAATCTCATTGTTACTGTGTGATTCAATGACATTTCTTTATCTGTTCTGTATGTGATGACCTCAGAATCTTATTGTAATCTTCATTCTGGCATCAATTGCCCTGTACCTGTGTACCTATAAATGCCCTGTAATGGTATTCAAGCTTTGCAGCAGAGTTCATCTCTGCCTGCCCGGTAATGCAGCCTGTATTATCGTGAGTGTACCGCGGGAACCTTGGGGTAATACAATAAAGCCTCAGATGGTCTGGACGCTTGGTCTTTCCCACGAACCCGAGTTTTATTCCCTCTTCTCAAATTGAGATTCCGGGATTCTGACAGTGGGAACTAGCAGAGACTCTCTTAGTCCCACTGCAACAGGCTGATCTCGATACCATGATAATGAGATCAGCTGTGGAAATGTTATGCAATGACAGGTGTACATTCCAACAGCTTAGAATTTTCAACAGACACCATTAGGATGGGATAGATGGGGTTGTTGTTGGGGAAAGAGATATTAAAAAGGAGGACGCATTCCCCCCAGTTGTCATTTGTTAGATGATGGCTATGAATGCCCTGTGTGGAAGAAGTGTGTAAATAGGCAGTGAGTGAGTAGTATGAATAACAATGTATGAAACGGAAAATTGACACAGAAAAGATCATACTGCAAACATCCAGGAATCCCAGAGATCTCTTCTTGTAAATTAAAAATGTATGATAATCGAAAATTCTTGTTCAACTAAGCTTCACGCAATGATTCAATAATATGAAAAACTGCTCATTCTGCAGACAGCGGGTAGAACAAAGACTTTAAAATGCCTTGGAAGCTAAAGCTGGAATTCTACTTTCTGGAATCCTATGCATGGAAATTTCCTATTTCCTATTCCTATAGCACGACCTATTGCATTTAATAGGACTTACTTCTGAGTAGACAAGTACAGACCTGCTTTGTAAATAACGGTTTCCTTTTTTTGGACCCAGGAGAGACAAGTTTTACGAGGCAAGTTATTAAGTCCCAGTTGAAATTAACTGTGCTGAAAATGAAGGATTCAGGTTACCAAAGCCAAAATTTTTGTTTAATGCTATGTTGGACAGGCAAATCCAAGACTTTTGTTTCAGTATAGTGTGAAACCAACTCTTTATTTCAATAAAGCCTAATCAAGGATTTTTCCCTGTCCCCTTTAAAGGTAGACTCTTACATCCTTAGATTAAAAAATCTTCAGTGATATTTACATCCTATTATAAATAGTTATCTCACACATAACTCAGCCTGCTTTAAGAAATTCTATGCTGATGATGATGTTTCTGGATTCATTTGTAAAATAATTTGCACTTTGGGCTTATGATATGTTGAATTGGAGTAAGAACAACAATTGTGGTATTATTTCTGTTTCAGATCAAATTTATTCACACTGCACTGTAGAAGAGAAACTTTCTGCACTTATCTGTAGCTACCAAAGCCTGCAAGTTAAGGTGACAAGTAAAATGCTGATGTGGTAGAAGTCCTGATTTGCCAGTATGTGGACCGGCCGAGGATTTGCCACTTCTCTGAGAGAGGCAGAAGTCCTGAAAGGTTTGTTTACTGGCATTTACTCTGATTAGCTCAATGAGAGTACAAGAGAGCCCAGCCATAAAATGTTAAACACTGCCAACACCCCACCGCCTGTCCAGTGCTAGGTATCCATGAATTGAAAGAGCAGCTGCCTGCACACCGATGACTGCATCATGTCACATAATCCCAGAAATGCAGTACCCTAAATAGGGGAGTGACAAATTTATATCAGCAAAGAAGAATCTCTTACTCTCAGTGCACAAGCATAAAGACACATCTGTCACCTCGACTGATTAAACAAATAAAAATGTAGTTGTGGTTTACTTGCACTGCAACTGCCATAGTGTCTCCACAACACCCTTGGTTTGGTGAGCTTGCCTATAACATGTTCAAAGTTGTGCCAACTTGCCTGCTCTTTCCTATGCACCAGTTTTACAGGTGTATCCTGTGACGTGCCCAGTACAGACTTTTTAAAGCCAGAGAATATGTAAGTGCAGGACCCTCACTTTAGATCAGGATACCAGGATGTATTTGTGTCCTGGGGGGCAGTTGTACAGGGGCATTAAGAACCAGACTGGACACTCTGAAACTACTCTAGAGTAACTCTTTTAAAGGGGTTCTTGCTAGACACAGTTACACGGTAGTGTGTGTGTTGGTCCTAAATAGGAAGCATATGGTGCTGTGTTATGGCAGAAACGGGGGCACAAACAGAGTTACTGGAGAAATTTGCGGATGCGGTCATTACCTCTGACTTTGAATGACACCTCACTGGATGCCAAAAGACTACAGCTATGTGTATGCCTGCACAAAAGTTTAAATAAAGGCAACTTTTCCACTCCTCCTCATTCTTCCTGATTCCTTCTATTTGTGAAGCAGAACATCAGCAACTTGAAATGTTATTTGTAAATGAAGCTCTGCAGAGGAACGGTTAAGGGGCAGTAACAATGATGTAGGAAGTATCAAACCAGATTATAATTTGTTATTTGCATGACATATGTTAGGACTGTGGAATTTCCTGTTGCTCTAACCTGACCCAACATCCATGGGAGTGTTTCCTAAACTTGAGTATAAGCCAAAGCAATATTGAGTAATATGTCAGCCAAACTTAGCTCAGTACTCTGTCAGTACAGGTACTGCAAAAAGAAAAAGCTAGTTTCACTGTAAATCACACTCAGGTGCAAAGATAGCCTGCCTGCGTGTTATAGTAGCTCGCACAGCATGCCATCCTAGGCTGGCTATATGCCACAGCAGACTGGCTGTTGTGTGCGCAAGTCACAGGCAGGCTACCGGATGATGGGTGCTCTGGTTCACTATTCCATGCGCGGTGGAGAACCACATTTTCTGCCGCTGCTCCCCGTATTTGGAACACCCTCCCCAAGGAGATTCACCTGGCACCATCCTTATACTCTTTTTGGTGCCAGGCGAAGACCTACCATCCATAAATAAATAAATAAATTTGCCGCAGAGTCTTCTTTGTATTTGCATTTGATCTGTTTTTCTAATTGATGCTGTTGTTTTTAGAGTATAATTAATTCTATAATTGTTTTTAACTCTGATGTGAGCCGCCTAGAGGTGCTATGGCACAATAGTCAGCATACCGATATTTTAAATAAATAAATATTCACCAATAATAGTCAGACAGACAGACAGACGGACAGACACACACGCACACACGAATTGTAGGTCAATGTTGCTATTTGGCCTCAATCAGTACTTCCAATAACATGGGCAGCTCAGAAACTGTAAAAGCAGCAGGACCAAACCTACAATCTAACAAGATGCTTCAGTTGCATCAACTGCCATGCATCATATGGCTGGCAATTTATATGCAGTACACTAATGGCAAAAAAGTCTTTAGGACTGACAAGTAGATGCCAAGTAAAAAATATCCTGGTCATTCACATTTGCCAAACAAACATTTTCTTGCTGATTTTAAACCACAAAGCTAATTTTGTGCGTGAAAATCCATCAGACTGAGAAAATATATGCCCCACCTCTCCAGCTGCCACAGCTGGGCAAGGCACATTGTTCCTATAGGGTTCTTATGAGGATAAAATGCCACCTTAGGTTCTGTGGAGGAAAAGTAGATCAGGGTGCCCTCCTATGCATGTTTAGCTGGAAAAATGTTCTGCCACCCCCAGCAGGCCCCAGCTACATCGCATTGCATGTGTGAAAGGAAGCAGTTGTGGGAAAGTGTGGTTTTGTGCCGAAGAACAGTGGGGAGGATGGGCTGTCCACCATCCCTTTTGCACTCAGATCATTCCTCTTAGCAGTTTTCCATACTTGGGCTTCCAAATGCATGCTCCAAAGTGCAGCTTCCTAAAGATGTGGAGAAGTGATAGAATCAACCGGTATCTTGGCACCTACTCCTGGCTGACATTTTCAACAAGTAGTTGGATTAGGTGAACTTCTAAATGAACTTTTAAGGTTTTTTTCCCTATTGTGTTTCTAATCAGCTGCAATGTAAAGTCAGACGCAGCACCAGCCTCCACAGCTCTGCAACCCATTCTTACTAGATGAATAATACATCCAAATACGTAACTTTAAGTAATTTGTAGCACAGAAAAAGAACTGTGGGTGTTGCATACATACAATAACTTTATATTAAGTTTCTCTGTTGAAAGGACATCTGGATGAGAAATGCCAAATATGTCAAGGAGGCTTGTTGAATTTCTGGAACACTAATCAAAGTTGCCCTCAGCCTGAATCAACAACCCAGTGTTGCTTTTATTTTTTTTATTTTAAAGAGGAAATAGCAGCATGAGGCATTCCTTCTGCATCCAGGGAAGTAAATGGCTGAAATGCATCAATGGATGCATTATTTTATTTTACAAGATATTTTTTTCTGACATACTTTGTGAGGGGCTGCCATAGAATCCAGCTTGACCAGAAATGCTCAAATATTGTCTTTCTTTAATCCCACTAGGTGGGTGCCTCCAGAGAGTTATGTGTTTTTGCTAAATAAGCACAGCAAAGAACTGTAAAAATTTATTGCACTGCAAACCCTGAAGTCACATTGATCAAGCTAAGTGAGTCCTAGTGCTCTAAAGATGAAAACAATTTAATATATCCTGTGGTTAAGAAGACAGTTACAAAAGATCGTTCTTCCTCTCCTAAATCTGTAATAATGCAGTTCTGCAAGATAAAGCAAACTTTACAAGCAAAGAGTTACACAATATGTTGCAGCAAATTCATGCAGATCCAAAATCACACTATGGATAATCTTGTGGCATTTTAAAGACCAAATGTATTCTGGCACGAGCTTTGGTGGACTATAGTGCACTTCATTAGCTGCATTCTTTCACGAACTGCCACTTATTCTTCAGACGCAGCTGTCTTTGGCAGATCAAGTCTGTCAGAGCAGCCTAAATCAGTAAGCAGATTATCATGCCGCACTTGTCAGACCATCCTCCAGCCCAATCGAATTTGCAGGGCTTTTTAATTTCAGAGATTAAGCATCTCCCATTTACGGCCGAAAGGCTTGGCAAGCGTAGGAACTTCTCCTGGTGGGGTGTGGAGGTGCCATTATTTTTTCATTTCTGTACTGTTCCTCAGCTGAAGTTCTCTGATATCACCCTAGGTAGTTAATCCCTTTCAGAGGGAGTAAAGGCAGGGAAATGAACCGCTAATATAGGTCTCCTACTTCTCACATGTATGCATTTACAATGTGTTCTTTGTTTATCTTAAGAATAAAGTTGGTTTCTTCAATCCTTCTTTAAGCAGAACAGTGACTCAATGACTCTTCTGGCTCCATCTTTTTTGTATGTTAGTATTTGAATCATGATCCTTAAAAAGTGAGAGCACGTATTTTATGACTGAAGCGGGGCACTTCTTTGGGGATTTTTATAAATGAATGCAACTAAATATAACTGAGGAAACAGGCTATGTCTCTATGATCAAAATAGATGGTGAGCATACCACTGAGATTCTAAGACTTTGAACATTTCTTGGAGAAGATGGCGAGGGGCGGGGGTGAGAGACTTTACTGACAAGACAGATATGGAACTTTGCCAGCATCCCTATTTCATTAGTCTATCAGATATCTAGTATCTTATAAACAGAGGTTTGTCAAATCAATGCTCTATCATGCTGAAGAATAATAATGGCAGTTCCTCCTTGCGGCTGCTCTACATGAGTATTACCATGTTATTAGATATAGTGTGCTCAACCACATTTTAGGATATTTTCATTGGTTTGTAAAGCAAAGGGTGTCCTTTGCTTTACAAACAAAGCAAATATGTTTGCTTTGGATTGGATAACATGAGACCATTTTCATAGGACTAATTATGGTTTTCATAAGCTATTTGTATCGACCAAGTATATTTTTCCTTATGTGCATAAATTCAGAAAAAAGTATTTTGGCATATTAAAGCCAGTATGGTGTAATGGTTAAGAGCCTGGGACTGGGACTCAGACGATCTGAGTTCTAGTCCCCGCTCAGCCATGGAGCCAACTGGGTGACTTTGGGCCAGTCACAGACACTCAGCCCAACCTACCTCACAGAGTTGTTGTTGTGGGGATAAGATGGAGGAGGAGATGTAAGCTGCCTTGAGCCCTTTGTAGGAAAAAGGCAGGATATAAATCGAAAAATCAATCAATCAATATTAAACCTAAATTAGAAGATTTTGGGTGGACACACAACTTCCCAATGACAGTTGCATTAAAATCCTGTAGTTCTGTCAGAATCCCGGAATCTCAATTTGAGATGAGGGAATAAAACTCAGGTTCGTGGGAAAGACCAAGCGTCCAGACCATCTGAGGCTTTATTGTATTAACCCAAGGTTCCTGCAGTACTCACAATAATGCATGCATTACCGGGCAGGCAGAGATGAACTCTGCTGCAAAGCTTCAATACCATTACAGGGCATTTATAGGTACACAGATACAGGGCAACTGATGCCAGAATGCAGAGATTACAATAAGATTCTGAGGTCATCACATACAGAACAGATAAAGAAATATCATTCAATCACACAGTAACAATGAGATTACAATATCTCCAATTGCCTGTATTGACACTT